CTGCATCCTGGCACCAGGGAGGCCAGGGGAAGGGCTCTGGGACAAAGGGCTCCTGGATGTGGAGATGAATGGGTCACTGTGAGCTTGGCCTACTGCCAGCTTGGCAGGGACAGGGCCTTGGCATGGGTAGGGGCTGGCAGGATGGCTCCTTCCAACAGCTGGGTGCTTCGGGGCCATGCACACCCCTTCGCCACAACCCCATCAGACTTGCTCTGCAAGGTGGTGGGGTGTCAAGTTTGCTGATGGGAAGAGAGAGGGAGGGCAGGAGGGCAGGTGTTCAGGGGCCCTTGAAGCCTACGCCTCTGTGAATTGGGTAGAGAGCAGTGGCTCAGCCTCAGGTGAGTCAACAAGGCAACCCTGGGAACCAGCCCAGTCACCTCAGATTAAGAGGAAACCACAGCACAGAGGCAGTGACTTGCCCAAGGCCACACGTTAACTCCAGGACCAAGCTGAGCTCTCACCAGATGCTGATGGGACCCACATGCATTCCCTCCACTCACCTCTCAACACACACTGCAGCCTCAGCCTCCCGCCTCTGTCTGCTGAGTGAGGCCTGCCAGGACCCGCCTAGGGGAGGCAGGGGGCTGGAGAGGGACCCTCCCGGATCCAGAATCTCGGGGTGGCTTTGATATGGAAGGACGTGGCCCGGGCACCGCAGCTGGGAGTGGCCCTGGCTTGGCACAGGGCTCAGCGGGCCTGCTCCCTGGGGAGCCCACGAGACCTAGGACCCACTCTGAGGGGGGAGACGGGGGAGTTCTAAAAGCAGATGTTGAAAGATGCCTGATCAACTGCCAGGCAGAAGGACACAAGTGGCCTGTTAGTCAGACATAAAGGGGGTGAGCCCTGACCTGGCTGTGTGACACCACGGGCAAGCCCAGAACACACATGGGGGCGTCACACACAAAGCGTCATGTCTGCCGCCATTCGTTTGATGTTAACCCTCGACAGCTAGCTCGTGGAAATGGAAGCTCGGTGGCCAGCAGTGGCCGGGGAGAGGGGCCCCGGGGGCGACTGCTGGGGGTGCAGAGCTCTGTTGGGGTGATAGACATGTTTTGGACCTAGAAAGAGGCGATGGTGGATTCATACGGGTATCACTGAATGGTTACGTTGTGCCAGTTTCACCTCAAAAAGGGAGAAGCGGCTACAGCCTTGAGGTCTCGCCTGTCACCCCTGTTGCTTTCCTGTTCCTCTTCCATTACTCCTATTCCGTTCCTATTATTCCTGTTACTCCCGCTAACCCTTCTGTTAGCCCCTGTTACTCCTATTGCTTTCTTTTTACTCTTCTGCTCCTTCCCTGTTACTCCTGTTTCTCTGTGTTACCCCCAGCCACGGCTCTACCTCACCCTCATCATCTTCAACGAAGCCCAAGGTCAGGTGCGGTCATGCTCCCCCATCTTCCAACCCTTCCCACTGGGCCTGGGGAGGCCCCGGCCCTTTCCGGCTGACAGGGGAGGGGGCGGATGGGAGTCTGCGGCCAAGAGCCGCTGCACAGGCCTTGTCTGCTTCAGGTGGCTCATCTCTGGCAGTGAGAGTTTTCTCCTCTTCCAGGAAAAGAGCTGGACCTCTAGGTTCCATGCGCTGCCCTGCAGTAGGGAATGGACCCAGCACCCACAGCCCTTGCACTGGGCCCTGCTGCAGGGTGACCAGGCCTCGGCCAGGCCCCAGGCCCTTGAGCAGTCCCGGGAAGAGAAGCAGCTGGCTCTCTGGTTGCCAACAGCTGCTGGGCCTGGTCTCAGCCAAGGGCGAGGCTGCACTGTGCAGACACTGTTTGCACAATCCCCCATCTGGATTTCCAAGGCACTGCCCATTTTCATGCTGTGACCCTGCCTGACCTAGAGTATCAGGGCCCTGGGGGTGTTTGAGGGCATCCACTTTCACTGAGGCCTCTTGCATGGACCCTGCATGGCCTGTTAGGCTGAGGAGCCCACTCCCACCCTTGGGGAAGCATCTGTTTCATTGCCAGTAGCTTATCCATTGGAACAGATTTCCTCAAACTGAGCCTAAGCCGCCTCACACTTCCCTTCTTTGGGCTCTGTCCTCCAGGCCCACACAGGACTCAGTAACCCACCTCCCCAGGACTTCTGCAGAACGCTGAGATGGCAGGGGCTGGGGGAGGCCAGCACACCCCACCCCGCCATCCCTGCAGGTCCTGTGAGGTTTCCACTCTTCCCCGGCCTCAGCTTCCCATCTCATACAATGTCCCACCTATATTCTGGGCAGTCCTAAGGTGGGTTGAGCCAACGGGCAGAATATTGCTCACACCAGGTTAAAAGACTCCACTGAAAACCTCTGGGGCTGCCCTTTGGGTGAGGCCTTCTTGGAACTTGCCTGTGAAATCCCATGACCTCCAAGCTTGGCCCGTAGCCACGTCCCGAGACATCGTCAGGGACAGAAGGGACTCCCTCGATTGGGAGGGGCGTCCTGCATCTGTGGTCGGAAATGCTTTCCTTTCTCAGTTCCTGGTCGCTGCCCAGGCCTTCTCCCAATATCCTCAGGACCCTCCTGTCCTGCCGGTGCCACAGGGAGGTGCAGTCGGAAGAGAGTAGGAGCCCAGAGCTTGGCGCCAGTGTTGGCCAGAACTGAGTCCATAACCCAGGCTGCTCATCTCAGTTTTAAAGTAGTGTCCTTTTGAAACTATCTTCAGCAGGGACTTTCAGTGGCAAATATATATGTAAGCCTGAGGTACTGCTGAGGGACAGCTGGCCCCTGGCCTTTCCCAGTAGAGGTGGCCCAGCCACTGCGAGGAGCACAACCTCATCACGTCTCCAGACCCCTGGGGGTGGCTGTCCCGAGCTTGCTCCTCTCTTCACACTGGGCAGGTGTGCTGGTCTCGCCTGTCACCCCTGTTGCTTTCCTGTTCCTCTTCCATTACTCCTATTCCGTTCCTATTATTCCTGTTACTCCCGCTAACCCTTCTGTTAGCCCCTGTTACTCCTATTGCTTTCTTTTTACTCTTCTGCTCCTTCCCTGTTACTCCTGTTTCTCTGTGTTACCCCCAGCCACGGCTCTACTTCACCCTCATCATCTTCAACGAAGCCCAAGGTCAGGTGCAGTCATGTCCCCCCATCCTCCAACCCTTCCCTCTGGGCCCAGGGAGGCCTCGGCCCTTTCCGGCTGACAGGGGAGGGGGCGGATGGGAGTCTGCGGCCAAGAGCCGCTGCACAGGCCTTGTCTGCTTCAGGTGGCTCGTCTCTGGCAGTGACAGGAAGGGAATGCCAAATTAATGCTGGGCAATAAATTCTGAAAAGCTAATAAAACCAAAGCGGGGGGATAGATGGAAGAGCTGCAGCAACTGATGAAACATTTTTGTTGGCAGTCACGCACTCATGGCACATTTTCCAAGGTTTGCATCAAGGAGACATCTGGCCGTGGCCCATGTGTTTGTGGGAGGGAATCCTGGGGAGCAGAGGTACGGGGGCCTGGAAGGGCAAGGCCCTCACAGAGGCAGGAAGCTGGGAGCAGGTGCTGTTTTGCAGGGACAGAGGCACCTCTGGGGCAAGAGTCAGTCAGTGGCTAGAAGGCTCCTCAGAAGGGGCAGTGCTGAGTCTGCTCCCACAGTCTGAGCCTCAGGCCTAGGCTCATCAGCCAACAGTGTGGCAGGACCAGGGCCTGGGAGGAGAATGTTGTGTGCTTGTGATCATGCTGCCCAGCCCCAACAGCCCAGAACCAGACTCTGGACTCTAGGCCTGGGCCCGGCCCTCCCTGGCCTGATTAGAGAGAGAGAGAGCGCATGAGATAGGGCAAAGCAAGATGTGGCCAGAGTGGCTTAGGAAACACTCTGGAATTCCTGGCTCCCTGGGTTCTGGATCACACACAAAATATTCTCTGCCTCCATCTTCCACCCACATCCTCCTTTTCCCTCAGCATCCTTCGAGGCCCTCTGTGCTCCCAGGCCCTGAACACCCCTGCCTCCAGGGCAGCAGCGCCCACGTATGTGATCACATGTGGGTGTGAGTTCCGTGTGTGTCTCCCCAGCGGGTTCTGGACCTGACTTGGTTCTGCCTCCCCACTCTCTGTGCTTGCTGGCCACTCTGCAGGCCCCAGGGGCTCTGCCCCGGCTGGAATGGGCCTGTGGCCGTGGAACACCTGGTGGCTGAGCTGGCCAATCATCTGCTCTGTGGGGAGGAGCATGACTTCCACACCAAGCTCCCCAGTCCTCCAGTGGGCCAGTGAGCTGCTGCCACCCACAGGACACACCCAAGCTGCCGGGTCTTCCAGGGAGACCCTGCTCCAGCAGCTCCAAGTCAAGGCCCCTGAAATGCATGGGGGCCCGCTGGGCCAGCCTAGGACTGCTCAGCAGGGCCTCCCGCCCCCAGAGAGAGAATGAGCCACGTGCTGGGATCCTGCTTTCCTTCCCACTGAGCATGGGACTGGGACCTGGTGTCTGGAACCGCCAGGCAGCTTTCCCTCTTACATCACACACAGAGATGTGACTTGGGCTTCGTTTTAGGTGACCTTGGCAAAAGGCAGGGTGTCCCTGCCCCCTGATAGTCTACTTTGGACCACCCCTTCACTCACACGGAGGGGTGAGGGGACACAGCTCTAGGCCTTACCAGCCCCATGCCCTCCTAAGTACCCGCAAGTCCACAGCCCAGCTTTTGACTCTGTCTTCTCTGCCCTCTGCCTGCCTCGGCCCCAAGGGTACCCTCTGTGTCCCCAGGACCCAGCTCAGCATCAGACTTGCCCTACCCACTGCAGGTCCCCTGCTCTATGGCCAGGCTGCTGCCCCCACCTTGCTCCTCACCGTCACATGAATCACTCAAGGTTCCTCTAGTACCTGCTGCTCATCTGCCCTTCATACCTGTCCTTATGTGGATGACACCTGCTTTCCCTCTGGTGGGCAGGCAGCTGCTCCTCTTAAGCCACCTCCTAGCATAGGCCTCTGCCTCCTCCAGCCTGTCCCCTCTTGGTGGCCTGGAGGGCTACCATGCCAGAATAAAGTTTGGTCCCCCAGGACAGAGGTGCCCTACAGAGGAGGCCCAGGTCCCAGCCTCACCTACCTCTGAGAAGAACACGGAGAGGATGGTCAGACTGATCCAGTGGATCACACCGGCGAACTGGAAGGCGCTGGAAACTGCAAGGAACACAGTAATAGGGCTGATTTCAAGGGCCAGGACTCAGGTGAGGGGTGCAGGGGCTGTGTGTGGGGCTGTGCAGGGTGAGGCTGCGCTGGGAGCCCAGCCACTCAGTGAGCGCTTAGATCTGGGTAAAATGGGGCCTGAGAACAGTGAAGCGGCTGTCAGCTGTGATGGCGGTATGTGTTTGTGGGGGCGGGGGTATGTGTTTGTGGGGCCCAGAGGCTTGTCTGTCTTCTGTGGAAGGGCTGCTTATCTCCCCCATGGCAATCTCCTTGGTCCAGCTCAGTCGGGAGTGTCAGTGGGCATTGCACCTCGCCATCCTCCTGGTAAGAAGCTCTCCTGAGGACTCGATGAGGGCTTCGGGGCCCTGGCTGTCAGCCCTGCACAGGCAGCCTCAGCAGGTCTACATGAGCTTTGGGGAATCCCCTCAATTACCCAAAGGTGCTGTGCTGAGTTAGGGCGAGTCCGGGCTCAAGGCAAATTCCCTTTAACTTGCATTCTGAAAAATGGTAGAGATGGGGGTGCTGGACAGAGTTTTAGAGGGGCAAGGCTGGAGCAAGGACTGAAGTGGAGAGCCAGGGGTGGGCCCCAGAGCTCGGCAGAGCAGGCAGGCTGGGTCTGCTCCTCACCTTCCAGACTCTAGAAAGGAAGTGTGGTTAGCGGGCAACACCTACACCCTCCCACCTCACCTTTCACCCGGCAGTCCTTGGCCTTAGGTGCTCCCTGTGGGAAGCCCTTTTAAAGTGCGGGAGCCACAGCTAGTGGGCAGAGTTTATGGGCTAGAAAGGCTAAAAGTGGCAAGGAAGCTCCAGACATAGGTCGGGCGGGTTTTGATGGAGCGAGTCAGAGGGGATGTGCCCCAGGAGGCTGGCGCGGGAGGGACGCGCCCAGCAGGGGCCAGGGCTAAAACAGGGTGCAGGAAGCCTGCTGAGAACACGCTGGCACCACTCTGGCCAGGGCTCTGACCGGGCCTGCTTAGCACGCAGTTCAGAATCCCTGGAGGCCAAGGGAAAAGGTCGGGACCATCAGAGGTGCTGGCTGGTCTGAAGGAGAGAGACTTCCTGCCTTGGGGCAGTATGACCCTCAGGACAAGTCCTGGCCAGGCCTCGGCTTCTCTCCGTCCTGGGTCACATGAAGGCGAGTGAGGCTTGAGAGGCTGAGGCTGCGTGACTCTGACAAGGCCTCCAGATGATTCTGAAAACATAAAATCTCTCCCCATTATTTCTCAAATGAATTCCTATGCCTTTTTTTACGGTTTGCTTTAGAAGAGCAATAAATCTCTGATTGTGCATTTTATGGAATTTGAGATGCCTTTTATGAGCTGCTATTGGATCTCCCACCAAAGTCAATCTCCTGGATACTTAATTTTAAGCAAGATTCCAGTGTCGGCTGGGTTTTCAGGTCCACTCAAGGCCTTGTCAGCCTGAGCGGCGAGGGCCCCGGGCACAGCCCACCACAGGGAAAGAAAGGTTCTGTTATAGTCAGATGCCATAAAAAGCAGACATGCGGATCAGTGGGACAGAGGGGAGACACTGCGGTTTAATTGAATACAGGCTGAGTGTAAAACCCCACCAGTTACTTTGTGCTGGAAGATACTTGATCAGAACTCAGAGGCCACCAGCTGCACAACATGAGTGAGGCTTATGGGTCCCTGCCAGACTCCCCAGAGCAGGGAGGAAAGGCTTTCCCGGCTTGCAGACAGAGGTTAGATGGGCCCAGATACAGGAACTGGGGGCATGTGAGAAAACCGGTCCAAGTCGACTGAATGGGTTTGGGAGTGGTTGGGGGGGGGGGGTCCTCGTCTTGGTCAGTGCCAGGACAGGAAATCTCTCAGGGGACCAATAATTTGATCTCTTTCTAACTTGTGCTTGGATGACCTACCTTGCAGATCAGGTAACTAAGGCAAAGAAGCAGCTAGAACCACGCACTTAGCGGAAGCCAGGAGTCAAGACCTTGGCCCTCACCTCCTTGTACCACACAGGCCTGCAGGTGGGAGGTGTGCTGTGCCCGCCACTGTGACAGCCGTGCTGCCTCAGACATGCAGAAGCACACAGGAGGCACAGACAGACCCTAGGCTGCCAGGCGTGTCAAGCTGCGTAAACAAACCAGGACACACAGCGGAAGACCTGGGGCAGAAGCACAGGCCCTGCTGTCAAATGGCCTGGTGGAGGGAAGGCCCAGCCCAAGGCTCTCACCAGGGACAGCCTCACACATGTTGAAGGCCTCGCTTCCTTGTCTCTAACGGGGATGGTGTCAGTCCTGCCCAGCTCAAATGTGGGGAAAAGTGCTCTCAAAATATTCACACGTATATAAATGGAGGCTCCAACGCGTGGCTGGAATCCCGTGGTGCTCTCACCACTAGAGACACGTGGCAATCCAGCCCCATGCGCAGCCAATTGTCTTAAGTTACAGAAAATTCCAACCTGGAAAACTCCAACTAGGAGCAATAAAAAAAAGTGCATACAGGTCCCCAACGTTTTTGTTCTCATCGGTTTCTGGACACAGAATGCTGGGTGGGGAGGCTGAGCGGTCACAATGGGGGCAGAGGCAACGCAGCCCCGGGAACGTGCTGGGGGATGGGGGTGGGGGGCTGCCTACTCCACGTCCCTGTCCCTCAGGCCACAGAGCTTGAGAGCCCAGGGCCAGGGGCTTGTGGCCCGGCAGGCAGGGTGGAGGGGGGCGACCACACAGCTGGGGGCCCCTGATGGACGCACATTGAATATCGACATCATACATATTTGCATATGTATCTCTCTTGCTACTCACACTGGAGAAGCTTTATATCTATTAGAAGTTCCAGAGTCAGGAGAATCACCACCAATATTACACAGGCTACCAGGAAACTGTTGACACTCGCACTGAGCAAAAATACCTGCCACACGGCTGCTCTCTTCCCACAGCACGGCTTCAGCCAGGTAGACCTGCAGGGACACAAATGGCATGAGGCTGAGAGGGGACCGGCCCAGCATAGCCCCCCACACCCATCGGCGTTACTCCTCTTAGCCCTGCTGTGTCCCCCAGAGACTACCTCATTCAAGAGGCGCTAAGCAAGACACATCGTCAAGTCACGAGGCTCAATTGCAGACTGGCCTGGGTAACTCACAGCACCCCTCAGGCTTCAGGGTCTTTAAAATGGGTGTGAGGCTCACTGTGAAACGGGGGTGGGGGGTCAAACAGGCGGGGGCAGCTGGCCGTGTGGCTGTGCTGCTGAGTGACAGTGACTAGTCCACTCCTGTGTAGCCTCGGGACCTGGCGTGGGCCTTGCATGCACGAGGCCCTCACCCACCCTTCATAGGCACTCAAGGAAAGATCTAAACTGTTTTCCAAAGTAAGCCACATGGAAGGCTGGTTCCATGAAGTACTAGTGGTTGTTACTTGATAATTTCTATGGCTAAGTTTTGGAAAATTTGGATCAAAGGAAGTTAAGTGCAGATTTCTCTCCACAGGACCGTGTTTAATGTGCTGTAATGCATCATCACGAGCCTAAAGGGATTACGACATCATTTCCCAAGCTCGCTGGGCCAAGGCACCCTTCTGTCTCTGCGCATCTGGCAGGACTAAGGAAACCCTTCAGGGATCTTGAACATTCACAGGCAGAGATGTGTCCTGAGCAGGCTGGGATGTGGGGAGGAGCCGCAGGACCGCACAGCTGGGGGTCCTGAGATCCCAGGAAGGAGGGCGCCTTGGGGGAGATGCTGAGGTCACAATGTCAGAGAATCATTTAAAAAGGTTAAAATCTAAGCCCCCACCCCTTGCCCAGCAGGAAGGTTTGGGGGCCTTGGATAAAGGGATTTGATAAGGTGCTGTGGGGACCAGGCCATGGCTGATGTCTTTGACCGAGAACGGAAGCAGGGCCAGGACACACCTGCCCAAGCCCAGCCAGCTCAGCACTAACCAGCCCCAAAGACCCCCCAGTCATGAAAATCCTGAGAAGCAGGGCATAATAGGGAGTCCCGACCCCTTCTCTGTGCACACACCTTCCCTTCCTCGCCCGCTGCTCCTCTTGGCAGTGTGTATCAGCAAGCCCTCCTTTGCTCTTCTCCACTCTGTCTCTGGTGAGTTCCATCCCCGTCCATCCCCTGCCCCTCCCACCCCCAGCTCACACCCTGACTTTTCTCCACAGCACACATCTCACCGTCTTGGGCCTTTAGATACAAGCCCCCGCGCCGGCCTCCTTCGTTGAGGAACAGGGCCTCCCAAAGCAGCCCACACAGACCGCCCTGCAGAGTCCAGTCTCCCTTTTTGTAAAACTCCCCAACTTACTGCTCTGGTACTTGAAATTTAAACGAAAGAATTATCTGGGTTTTTGTAAAACACCATGTAGCTATAGTGCTGAGTGATGCTGGCTGATAAATTGGGGGCTGATGACCCCAATCCTGGTCATCCTCTGTCCTCCCCACCCAAGGGGCGCTCTGCCAAAGCCTGTGCAGGGGCCGTGCCTACCCCTGCGGGTGCCCTGGGAGGGGAGTTCTGACCCTTCTCAGAGCAGTGATCGGACGCTCTGAGGATGTTTCTTTCTCGTGACTCATGCAGGGATGCTTCGTGGGTCCTCTGAGAGGAGCAAGGACCAAACTCACTGTTCTTCAAGGGACCTGGCGGGAGACTGGTCTGCACGGCTTTCTGGATGCTTCTCACACCGATTGGGACGACAGGCAGAGCCTTTGCGCTGCAGGGAGTGCAGACTGAGGCTCAGCGCCCCCGTGCAGGATGCTGGCCACAGAAAGAGGAATAGAAGGGTTTCAACAGGTGATGGAGGAGGAGGAGGACATTGTCAGCAGGGAGGTGGGGGTGACTGGTGCCCAGGAGTGCAGTGAAGGACACAGAGAGCAGGAGGCCAAGGAGAGGTTCCTCACTGAAGGACAAGCAGGATGGGTCCTGACTGAGCCTCTGATGAACATCCTCCTTCCCCCCTAGAGGGCTGCAAGGCTCAGTGTGGAAACTTTTCTATTTCCTCACAGGGCAGGCTCACATGGGCCAACCACAAACAAGAAGAACAGGTAACCCCCAAAACTAACACCACGTGGAGCTCAGCAGGGCTGCCAGATCCCACATAGGACATTCAGTTAAATCCTAGAGAAACAATGCAGAATTATTTTTTTTTAAAAGTATGTTCCAAACATCACATAGGATACACTTGAGATAAAAAAAAAAAACCCATTCATTGTTTATCCAAAATTCAAGTTGAGCTGGGCAACCTGTATCCTAATTTGCTAAACCTGACACCCCTAAACTCAGCATCATGGCCTCACGGAGGCCTGGGCAGAGTGGTTGTGATTCGGGGAGAAGAATATACAAGGGCCTGAAATAGGAGGGGTGGGTGTGGGGTGGGGCTGGGCATTTTTGTCCAGAGGGGGCAGGAGGGAGGGCAAGGGAAGGAGGCAGCTTGAGGAGGAACAGGCACACCCTGTCCCCCCGGGGGCCCAGAGGCACCCAGCAGCCACGGCGCCATCAGCCATGGATTGCTCCTGTGTATTGAAGACTCTTTGAATGTAAGATGTCACTGGCCCTCAGCTGTCCTCCTGATCTGTGTTTCTCACCTCCTCCCCCTTTTTTGCCTACAGGGTCACACCTACCGGGTGGGACAGCCCTTCTCTGGAGCCTATTTTATTATTTTATTTTATTTTTTTAAACATTTATTTATTTATGCATACAAGAGCCAGGGTACAGGCCAAGGTGCGAGAGGGTGAGAGGATTCACCAGAGACAGAGAGGGGAACAGAACAGGCAGACTGACTGAAATACACTGCTGAGGGGAGCAGCGGGTGAGTCAGGAGAGGTCTGCTGCGCCATGTGGGTTGCTCCCTGGCTGGCCTGGGGATTGAACTTGTACTGCAGAGGCTGCAGATTGCTTCATAGTGCGGTGCTTAACCCCTTGCGTGGGGCCCATTTTAATCTCTCACACCTCTCACCACTCTCCAGCTGCCTCTGCTCTGTCTCTGGAAGCGTCCAGCTCCCTCCTGACTGCCTGTAATTTCTTCCCAAAAGGTGGCAGGACCCCAGGAGATTTGGATCCAATTCCATGTCCTTTCTAAAGCCCAGTGCAATTGTCTGTGATCCCTACAACTAACACCCCTTCATTGTCATCTGACTGGAGCCCAGGGCCTCCTGGCAGCCACCTACCAGCTGCCTGGGACCTGCAGGGTTGGTCACACGTTCGGGAGGGAGCTGGGCATGTGTTCACTTCCCTGGGCGTGGGCTGCACCCTCAGAGACTGTGCCTCCTGCCCCCAGAGGAGGGCCCCACAGGGGGATACAAGGAGCAAACCATCAGCCTCTTCCAGCAGCGCCTGTGTGACCAGTCCCTAGAAAGAGGAGGTGAAGCTCTTGACCTACCTGTGGGGGACATTTTATATGACTTTGAGATGTTCAAATGTCAAGATTTACATCCTTCTCTGGCTAGAACTCCCTAACCAGAATGGGGTTGGCTGCAGGGAAGCAGTAGGCCTCAGTGGGATGGCCGTGTGTGGGGCCTTGGGGGGACTGTAGCCAGGGGAAGGGCCTGGGCAGGTGTCCTAGAGCCACCTGAGTCCCCTGAGTGCTGCCACCACAGCCTCCCCGTCCTTGACGGGAAGCCAGGTGGGGCCTGCAGATGACAGGATTCAGAATGCAGGGACGGCGGAGACACGAGCGCGGGTAGCGGGGCACCGTGACTTGCCCCAGGAGAGCCCAACAAACAAGTCAGTGAAGTTCCTGGTGAGCTACGAGGAACGAGGGGAACAGGCAGGTGAGCTGACATTTTAAACGACAGGGTTGGCAGGTCTGGCTGGGAAAGCGACATAAGGGAGTTGGAGTGGGCCCTGGGGCATCTGGGTGCTGGGGGTGGAGCATATAGGGACTGTTTGCAGTAAAATTCTATTTGGCCCCAGAATGCCCCTAGCACAACAAGCCCTCGAAGCACAGGAGCAGGAGCTGAACTGGGAGGAGGTGGCCTCAGCCTTTGGGGCTGGGAGGAAAATTTCAGACCCAGCAAGAGCTGATGCTTTGGATATTTCCACAGCTGTGGTCATAACCAAGTTGCCCAATGACCTAAGGCAGCAGCCAGACAGACCCACTGCCCCGGCCCTCTTCCTCACTCCTGTGCCAGCCCTACCAGCCCCATGCAGAGCCTCACCTCCAGCTATCAGCCCCTCAGCCAGGCCAGCCCACCAGTGACTCAACGTGGACCCCTCTCTCACAAGTTCAAGGGCTGTTACTTGCATCATTCTCTTGGTGAATCTGGGACAACACACGTGGGCGGGACTCAGCTGAAGCAGATGGAGGGAAGACCTGCCTGCTAAGGAGAGGACGACATCCAGGAACAGTCATGGGGGGTGGGTCGCCACGGCCGGGGTCTGCGTGGAAGTCAGTGGGTCTTCACCTAGCTGCATCCAACAACCACCAGGAGCACTGCAACCCCCCAAGCCCAGGTCCCAGCCTCTGGGGCGGGATCTGGCCTCAGTATTTGCTCATCTCTTGAGGTGATTCCAAAGTATAGCCCAGCCTGAGAACCACGTTCTTGGGACGGGACGCAGGGTGGGCTCCCTATAGGATCAGACGGGCCAGGACCTTGTGAGACATGCAGGTGCCAGCCCTCCCCTGAACTAGGCCCTGCATCTAAGCGCACCCGGGTGATGTGGGTGAGAAGAGATGCTTTGGATGACTCAGGAGGATGGCCGCAGGGGAGCCTGCCCGGGAGCAGGACAGAGAAGACAACGCAGGCGGAGCTGCCCACAAGGGCAGACTCTGGGAGGCGGCTCGGGGGCACAGATCAGTGACCCTGAGACTGGGGGTGTTGGGGAGTGCCCAGGGCTTCCTTAGCCACAAATATGAAACTGAAGCCCAAGCCCAGCCTGCAGGAGAGGCCTGGGTGGTGGGTGGGGTGGCCGGCTAATCTGATGTTTGTATATCCCCAGATGCTAATAAAAGTATCTCTGACATTCAAAT